GGAGGGCGGAGGGCGTGTGAGCAGAGAAGAGCACTTTGAGGATGGCCATACCCACTTTAGACACATAATCTTCTGTCTGGGCTGGAAGGAGCTTCGTTAAGGTAGTCTGGGTTAACATGAACCTGCGTGTGTGTTGTGATTTGGCATTTTGATGGTAATTCTCCCTTTGTGTACAGGGGTGCTGCTTACAGACCCTGAGGGTTTTTCTGTTAGGAAGAATTTTTTGCTCCAAATCACCTCCATTTACATTTTTACCAGACAGCACTTGCTTATGACCAAGGCACTGATCTGAGAACTTGGTGACAGTCACAGAGACCATGGAGCAAGTGGTCCTAGAGTCTGGAGACCTGGGTCCTGCCGAGGTCTGGCTGTGTCATCCTCTGGGGCCCTGAGAAGCTAGCCTTCAGGGTGCCATCCAGTTTGAAGAACTATGATTCTAGGCCATCTGTAAGGCCTCTTCTAGCTTTAAAACCAGGACCAGCCAAGTTACCACAGGTCCCCTGGCTTCTGAGCATGCAGGGATGGGGGGGTCTCCTTTGGCAGGTGGTGTCTGAATCCCTAACAGGATGGGAAAGTGGTGGGAAGAGGCACCCCAGTGAACCCCTTGCTTAATTAAAGGCAGGGCTATTCTGTTGGAGGGTCAGGATTTCCAGGCCCCAGTAGGACTGTTGAGCCATCGCCTCCTGTCTTGTGTGGAGCTGGTTGTGGGTTTCCGTGGGGGTGCCCATGTGTACGTGTCTTGATTCTGGGAGGAAGAGGAAAAGCTCATCATCACCAACCGTATCTGCCATTTTGTTTTGTAGATTCCCAACTTCTTCTGGAGCCTGGGGATCGGTCACACTGGTGCGTGGTGGCATACTGGGAGGAGAAGACGCGAGTGGGGAGGCTCTACTGTGTCCAGGAGCCCTCCCTGGATATCTTCTATGATCTACCTCAGGGGAATGGCTTTTGCCTCGGACAGCTCAATTCGGACAACAAGAGTCAGCTGGTGCAGAAAGTGCGGAGCAAAATCGGCTGCGGCATCCAGCTCACGCGGGAAGTGGACGGCGTGTGGGTGTACAACCGCAGCAGTTACCCCATCTTCATCAAGTCAGCCACACTGGACAACCCAGACTCGAGGACGCTGTTGGTGCACAAAGTGTTCCCCGGTTTCTCCATCAAGGCTTTTGACTACGAGAAGGCGTATAGCCTGCAGCGGCCCAACGACCACGAATTCATGCAGCAGCCGTGGACTGGCTTCACTGTGCAGATCAGCTTCGTGAAGGGCTGGGGCCAGTGCTACACCCGCCAGTTTATCAGCAGCTGCCCCTGCTGGCTGGAGGTCATCTTCAACAGCCGGTAGCCGCGCGGGGAGAGGACGGAGCGAGAGCCGAGCGGGCCTAGTCCAAACTACTTTGCTGCTAATGTTTTCCTCCTGAGTGCTTGCTTTTCATGCAAAACTCTTTGGTCATAGTCCGTCCCCCCACCCCCACCCCCGGTCATTCTTGTTTATGTTCTGTTTTGGTTTGTTCTTTGAGAAATAGCTTATGAAAAGAATTGTTGGGGTCTTTTGGGGGGGGGGGGTCACAGTGTTGGCAGGACACCCCCGTATGAAAAGGGGAAGCAAAAATCGGTCCCACCAAACACAGTGTATGAATGGGGAGCAGGCCCTAACTTTGGGGTCGTTTCACTTGTCAGGGTGGATGCGTGAGTGACTGTGTGTCTGTGAGTGTGTATGTGTGAGCGACTGTGTGCTTCACAGCTCCCCAGCTATGTCCCTCTTGCCTGCTGGACATGCTCAGTGGGGCAGAGGCAGTACCTGGGCAAGGCTGCGACCAGTGTCCCAGCAGCTGCCAGAAGGAAGGTTCTGCCCCCAGCCTGGGGAAGCCCTCGTCCCGCCCTCCCCTTCTAGGACCCAGGCCTGTGTCTGCAAGAGGCCGAATGAGAATCAGTTGTTTTCGAGCTTGTCTTAACTCCCCTCCAGCCACCCTCCTGCCATTGTCGTGTCTTTCTATTTTGGCCACCTGCTCCTGGATGTCTCTGAGATGGGCTTCCTGAAGGCTGCCGGGGCAGCCCCACCGCAGTATTGCTCACCCAGTGCCCTCTCAGGCCCCTCAGCCTCTCCCCTGCCTTGGTTACATCAGGTTTACCCGGACTCAGAAAACCAGCTCAGCACTTTCCTCCCCTCTGCAACCTGTGTGTTGAGCTCTGCTGTTAGACCAGCGAGGGGAGCATTCCCCCTTCCCACCAAGAAGGATTCGGTCCATCATAACCCAAGGTACCATCCTGGGCTGACATCTAACTCTCCTTTTGTTTCTTCTACAACTCATACACTCGTATGATATGTTGACACTGCTCTTAGCTCAATGAGCATGTTTAGACTTTAACATAAGCTATTTTTCTAACTACAAAGGTTTAAATGAACAAGAGAAGCATTCTCATTGGAAATTTAGCATTGTAGTGCTTTTGAGAGAAAGGACTCCTGAAAAAAACAAACAAAAAACCCTGAGATTTATTAAAGAAAAAAATGTATTTTATGTTATATATAAATATATTATTACTTGTAAATATAAAGACGTTTTATAAGCATCATTATTTATGTATTGTGCAATGTGTATAAACAAGAAAATAAAGAAAAGATGCACTTTGCTTTAATATAAATGCAAATAACAAATGCCAAATTAAAAAAGATAAACACGAGATTGGTGTTTTTTTCTATGGGTGTTATCACCTGGCTGAATGTTTTTCTAAAGGAGTTTATGTTCCATTAAACAATTTTTAAAATGTATACTTGATTCCATGTTGTCCAGCTCCTTTGTTGTCTGATGGGATGTGTGGGGGGAGGGGTCAGAATCTGGGACAGTTGGGGTCTTCCTGGCCCAGTGCTTGGTTGGAGAGGACGGGGAAGGGAGACCATGAAAGGGATGTTCAGAGCAGACTACCTTTCTAATATCAGTTCCCTGTATGCTAGAAAGACCCAGAGCTACACAGACACCCTTCCTGTTAGGCGGTGACCCTTGGGTGTAGCTGGCAGGGTGTCCAGAGTTTTTAATGGGGTCAACCCCAAGAAGCCCTGAGTTACAAAAGTGGGTGATTTTTTTCCCCAAAGCTTGATAGAGTTGAGAAAAGGGGATTTCATTTTGGGTAATTGGGTAGGAGGTTGCATTGGGAGATGGAGGGAGGGGTATGGGCCCAGGAACTGGGTCCATCTACTCCTGCTTGCTTACTCCTCACTTGGCTTTAAATCCTTTCCCAGAGGAGCGCCACTGCTGCACTGGGCTCCAGGACAGGTCCGCCCAGGGATGAAGCTCTGGGAGGAAGACGAGGGGGAGGTTGAGTGTTGGTGATGGGTGGACTGATCGGGCCACCTTCTAGGTCCCTCCCAAGTTCTGGAACAGGCACTCCAGGAAATGGAGAAGACCAGAGAGAGCACCGAGTCTGGGTCCTGCTCTGCAGTCTTCCCCTTCCGCTTGAACTCCAGTGACATTCTGTAGTCCCTTCACGCAGCCCAGCCCCAATGGCACTTGCTGGTCAAGTGCCTCTTCTGTCCTTGCCCTGGGATTTCTGTGGTTGATCCAAGCCGTTTTTTAGATTCAGGCTCTTGCACAAGAGATGGATCCAAATTGGGCACCAGCCAGGAGTTGTACAGGTACCTATGGCAGGGCTCTTGAACCTTGGATCCAGGAGGGGCATCTCTGAAATGGGGGTTAAGATTTTGGGTATCACAAACTGGTACAATTTCAAAACCTTTTTGAAGGGCCAAAATAAAACTGGACAGCTTTTAATTTTGCCAAGTAATGACAGCACTACAGCCTCCTGGAACCATCATTTCATTCAAAGGACTTCTAATACAACTATGTTGTAAGACATACTAATACATGTTGATTTATGCTCTGGTGCCTTAGTGCCAAGTGGCCATCTGGGCCAGCATGTTTACTTGAGGTGATGGGGAGCTCACTACCTATCAAAAGAACATTATGCTTTTTTCTCAGTTGAACTGAAACCTACCTTCATTTATTCTAGTTCTGCAACCCAGAGTAAAATCCCCACCTCTGAAAAACACCCAAGGAGGGGTCTAATTAACACCAGTGTGGTATAGGGGTGGAGGAGGGGTGGGGTGGATGATGTTATTTCAGGGAGCTGTCAGTCATTTTAGTTTGCTCTAACTTGCATCAGCATGCCAGGAAGCTGTTCAGTAATAATAGCTACCATTTATTGAGTGCTTTACTAGGTGCCAGGCACGATGCTAAGTGTTGAAGGGAATTATTTAATTCTCATTAGGGCATTCTGCAAAAATGGAGGCTTTAAGAGGTTGAAAGACTTGCCCAAGGTCTCTCCAGAGGAAATGCTTAGGGGGGTCAGTGTCTCACTCTTTGGCCCATGCCCTGTAGAGATGTGTTTTTAATGGAATCCGGTGTGTGCCAGTCCCACAATTCCTCAAAATCAGGCGATGGGCCACCACACTACCACCTGGCCCCGCTGTTTGGGCAGGGCCTCAGGCTTGGAGGCAGGAGCTGTGGCGGCAGCACTTCATGCCCTCCTCTGTTACCTGGGTTTGACGTTCAGCCTCAAGAGGCTGGGATTGGGGTGAGGGCATGTGGGTCCCAGTGGGTAGGCTGGCTTTGGGTGGGCAGGGAAAGGGGACCACTTAGGGGAAACCAGGTGTTTACTGGTGACAACACTCCTCACCTAGCCAGAGCGGCTGTCACCCACAGGCACCCCGAGTGCCTTCGTGTGTGAGAACTGTGCTCTGTGCTGCCGGGGCACCCTGCCCTCGGTGACACTGGAGGACAAGACGCCCACACCCAAGATGGTCTCTGGCAGCACAGGCAGAGCAGTGTGTCCCCAGGCCACCCAGGATTCGTGGAGGAGGCGACTTACAGCCCAGGTGGGGTTTGGATTAGTGAGGGGAGAGGAGAAAGTGCCCCCTTGCAGGGAAGTTTTTCTGACATCTGGTTCTCCTCCTTCCTATTTCAGTTCACACTTCAAATTTAGGGGTGTCTTACAGGGTTCTTCCCTCTCCCTGGGCAGCAACATCACTCAGGTGGCTTCATTTCCCCTCACCTGGGGATGTCTCAGCTGCTCCAACCAGAAATTTGGATTCTCCCATCTCTTTTGCTTCATCCTGTCATAAAATAAAAAACCAAAATACTGTCTACCATGCCTCGTTTAATTCATAATTATAAAATTCATAATTATAAAATTAATCTCTCACATATGCTCCCTTTCGCCATCCCCACTGCTACTGGGCAGACCACTGGAAGACCTCGGTTCTTGTCTTCTTTTCTTTTGATCTACACCAGAGGATATTTTTTCCGTTTCTTTTCAGAGACAGTGGAAGGGAGAGAAACATTGATGTCAGAGACACATCGATTGGTTGCCTCTGCACGTGCTCCGACCAGGGCCAGGGATCAAGCCTGCAACCGAGGTAGTGCCCTTGGCCGGAATCGAACCTGGGACCCTTCAGTCCATGGGCTGATGCTCTAACCACTGAACCAAGCCTGCCAGGGCGGTTCTTGTCTTCTTGAGGGAAAGATTTCAATCAAGACACAAAGTGTAGAAAAGAAAGCAATAATTTATTGGCCGCAACAAAAATATACTTGGACAGTGAAACAAGGAAGGACATAGAAGCAGCTACAGGAGAGCCTGGGCGGGGTTGCTCTGGCTCACTGGGAAGTCAGAGAAAAGGGGGCCTTGGGGACAGGTTCAGGGGGTTAGCCTAGGACAAGCTGCCGCTGCACACTGCTCCCCTGCTTGCAAGTCTCGTGGGGTCCCCTTGGGGGAGATAAGGACATGGTGCTGACGTGCTCCCCTAGGGGCTGGGGGAGAGAGCACACATTGGAATGTTCATTTTCAGGGGTTTTAAAGGCTGGGCATTTAGGGGAGGTCTTAGGAGCAGATCAACAGAATATTCACCAGCTTTATGCTAATGTACCAAAAATGAGGTTTATTCTTAATTTGTCCGTCCTTGGGTGTGGTTGGCAAATGGCACTAAATGGATTTCTGTTATCTGTCTCCCTGAGTAGAGTGATTTAAGCTATTTACCCTCTGGCTGGGGAGGAGAAATGCAAACCATTTACTCTCTAGTGTCCTTGGTTTAGGGAAGATAGGATTTACTAGGCGGCTGCAAACTGCTGTTTATCTGTCTCAGTTTCCCTATTCTGCTTGTCCTGGAATTTTCCTAGCTTCTTACTATGCTAGAATGATTTAGTTCAGAGACTTCTAGCATCTCCTTGGCCCTCCTCTACTCCAAGTGGCCTTTTAGTCCCTGCCTCTGCCAATCTCACCCTTTAACCCTCCCCCTCCCCCTCTGCACATGCAGACCCTCGGTCCCAGGCACACGGGGTGACTTACAGTCCCCCGCACAGACCTTGCTCATGTGCTTCCCAGAAAGTGCTTTCTGGCTCCTATAATTGACTGTCTCTTTATCCTTCAGGATGCAACATGGGCCTTCAGGAAGCCTCCCTCCTTTTAAAAATTTCTGCCCTACAGAGATATCAGTGGTGTCGAATTCTGTCTCCCCACTGAACCCTAAGTTCTTGGTACTCTGGCATCTCAACTAGGGCCCCAGTTAGGATCTGCTGCCCTAGCAATTCCTGGCTCAGTGCTCACACAAGGTTTGTTCCGTAAATGAGGGAGGGAGAGGCAGAATTGTGCGTTTAGCTTGGATTGGGAATAATCATAGTAATGGCCAGCACCGATTATTTTCTGACTGTGCTAGGCAGTGTTCCAAGCCCTTTGCCTTGGGACGGTTCTATTTAATCCTTACAACCATCCTAAAGCAAATACCATTATCATCAGCCCCATTTTACAGGTAAGGAAACTGAGGTTGAAAGATTTGCCTAGGGTCCCCTAGCTGGTAGCATCAGATTTCATCACCTTTGTGTTGTCCAAGCTCTATGGGTGGGCCTGGGTGAAGGGCTGACTTTGTTGGGTCTATGATTTCTCTAAAACAAGCCTGGTTAGGAAAGACCAAGCTGGTCTGATTGCTGAATAATAGAAACAATGCGCGACATCTGTGCAGTTTGTAGGCACCAAGGACCTCCCCAGAGTTTGCCACCCGTGGCCCCCACTGCAGCATGATGCAGGTAGGAAGAACCAGACCCTCCAATAGACGAGGGCCTTACCCAGGACAGCCACAGCCAGTGTGTGGGGGAGGCCGAAGTTGCACCCAAGCCCACAACAAGTGCAGACTTCCTGAGGGGTCGGTCAGGCCCCCACACCCAGCCTGCTTTGTGTCAGTCTGCGTTGTCTGTTGGCGCTACAGTGTTAGAACAGTCAGTGACTGATGAGTATTGGGCAGGTGGGGTTGGGGGGTCTGACATGAAATAGGATATGCGACACTATTGTGGGTTTCCTGTCACATAGACTAGGGTTTGAGTACTGTACTCTTTTGGGCAAGTCACTGAACCTCTCTGAACCTCAATTTCTGAAACATAAAATGGGAAATACACCTGCCTTGTGGGACCAAGAGGGGGATTAGTGAGAAAATAAATCTGGAGAGCTGGCCATAGGAGAATTAGGTTGAACTACGTGGGATTGCTAATATGGGACCATTTTGATCTACAAAGATGGCAATGTCACAATGTTTAATCTACTAGGTGCTCAATTCAAGGCAGCGGCTGTTAGGAATCTCCAGCCTTCTCTTCCCCTTGCAGGGCAGTCAGGAGCTGACAGTAGCCTCCCTGTGTTAAGTGAGCTGAGAGAAGATAGTCAGTGAAGCCAACTGGCAGTGGGGGGGTCTATATGGGAGAGACCCCTTCCTGCTCAGAATGCCAGCAAACTACTGAGCCCA